GATGACTACCCATGGTTCTTATCACACTGCTTAGATGGTGGCTTGCTCTGCTCTAAAGTGGCCCCCTCTACAGTCCATGGGTCTTTTGGAGAAGATAAACAGTCAAATTCATTGACTAATGTAACAAACTCATTTTCCACAGAATATTGTTGTTAAACAGATATTATGGTGCAGGTGGCATAAGTTCATAGCATGTTACCAAATATATTGTGTTGTCCAGACAGGGTAAGGGGTTCTTTTACCAATTGGAAACAACCGAAAAGCTAAATTTCAGGGTCACACTAATCCATATATTAACTGATTTGCTCCATAGCTAGAAAGCTCACCAGTTAATTGCAATGGTTTTATTCAGGCTGAGCCTCCATTCATACAGGTTTTCTGAGGTTTTGGGGTTTGTTTTTCCTTTTTTTCTTCTTTCTTTCTCCCACATCTAAGCAGTGCATAAATAATAGTGTAGTATGTTGTTATCCATGATTTATTAAACTTTTTCTTCAATGGTGACCTACAATCAGTAGTACAGTACTGAGCGGAACAAAGAATAGAGCATTTCTACAGCATTTTATATAGCATTGCTGCTAAGACTGTTAGATTTTAACACATTGAGTAATAACAGTCTAGCCTTTTATTTCATGTCCATTCTCTTATTTTCTCACTAAGCTATTAAAACAGCAAGTTTACTCTAAAACTATAATAATTTAATCTTATAGGGATTACACAAGCATATATTTATATACCTTTGGTTTTAAATCATTTTACTCCCTCCTCCTGAAATAGTTCCATTCTTTCCATATTTACTCAGTTGCAACAATTCCAAAACACATTTATTTGTAAACAAATAACCCGGACAACAGTTCAAGACAAATGGAAAGTAACAGGCAAGATACTAACACAAATTAAATAGAACTTCTACTTTAAAAATAAAACACAGTTTTGTTATAGAGAATACAGAAAACTCCCCAAATTTGTCACTGAGTACAGAATCACAATAAATATTAGCTAATGAACTGAAGTTGGGTCCTTGAAAGAATGCAGAACTACTGCCTCAAATGATCTCAGCACAAACTTTCCATGTATTTATGACTGAAATCTTGCACACAGTCTGTAATTTTATAGTTTTATTGAAGCAGTTGCCTCAAATCCTTGCTACAATTATATGGGATTTGACACACCCAGATTACCACCTAGGTAACTCAAAGTGTGACCACTGTTCCAAACCTTCTTTATGACCAATTTCATGCAACAACTCTATTGATTATAATGATTGCAGAAGGAGGGGTATCCAGCATGTGGCATGTGTTCTCAAGGCTAGAGTAAAACGTAGTACTAGTCAAGCCACTTAAAGACTGTATAGCCGAGTGCCAGCTTGGCACTGATATTAAATGGCTCTTAAGAATACTGCTGATAATATATTAGGGGAAGCCTTTCCTGCAGTACAGAGATGATGGATCTTCAGGATCAGTATCGCCCTTTACCTCTCAGGTGACATCAATCCAGTGATTAAAAAAACCAACCAACCAAACAAAACCAAAGAACGGTAAGCCAGTGGGTAGTTCCCTTCAGCAGTACTACTTTAATGATTCATAGGAATTGGAACGTTGCAACCCATCAGTACTCTCTGGTGGCTTTCACAGAGAGCTCTCTGGTCCTTCACTGAATCTGTCCTTAAGGTCGGGGTTTGGAATTCTTTCTTTGCTTTCTACACTTAATGAGCTGAAAACCACAAATTTTCCAGTTCATTTAAAATAGTATACATTCCCATCAGTTCTTTATATAGTATGTATGCAACATATTTAAAATAAAAACCTCGTGAAAATATTTAATAGGAAAAAGTAATTTTAAGTGAAATTATTGAAATAACATTTCTGTAAATGAGTAATTATGAAAAAATATTTCTGACCACTCTTTAAACTTGAAAATAAAGTGTAATAAAACCCTTACTCATTACATTAACACAAAAGAACGTGAAAGCTATTCAGAATTTTAATTCAAATATCACAATATTTACATTGCATACATGTATACTGGTCTTAAGAGAGAATGTCTAGATATGCATCCTTCAAGATCACATTCCATCAGCAGTCCTAGAACTGCTGTTTAGGATACAACATCATCTTTCCAAAAAGACATCCAGTTTCACATGAACTTTTTGAATCCCATGAATTTTGGTAAAATGTACCAAAACATTCACCAAAGGAATGTAACGTTCAAAAAATCTCATTAAATAGTGAATCTGCTGACATTTTCCTTTGCGAGTTTTTGAGCAAAAAATGAGTGTGCAAACTGAATAAAAACTACAATTAACCGAATTATCACAGCTCCATTGCAAGTCACCGTAACGTGAAAAATTAAGACTTAATTATGCAAAATTTCAAGTTCTGCTTTTTCAACACCGTGTCCAAAGAGAAGCACGGGTAGGATCTATTCGTTTCCCTCAGCTAAATAAAGATATTAATGACGAGAGAAATATTAATAAGTACTGGACAGATTAAAAGAACCAAAACAGTGTCATTACAGTACGAAGCCACAGAAGCAAAGTCAATCCTTGATGGTTTAACCAAGTCTACAGACATTTGACGTAATTAATAGATTCCAGTACATTATCAGAAACATGCAAAAAGTTATTAAAAAAATTAACTGCTTCTGCTCTTCAGAAGACAATTTCCAAACTTGTTTTGTTAAAATGTCCATTATATACGGTTTTAGATTGCATGCTTATCTGCCTACACACAAAAAAAAAAAATCAAACCAAAGTTTTACAGTTTAAATTAATATACTTCTGAATAACAAAAGTCAAAGAAAGATGGTAAGGCTGGGGAGAAAAGGTCATTATTGTGCATGCCTTTCTTAAGTTCCACAATGGTTTCATCCATCTTAGAAAATAAGACAGCATTGTGCATGAATTGAGGACAAAAATAATTACACGCTCTGCTCACATCCTAGAGAGATAGCTAGAAGAAAGGTGGCTTCCTTCATTCTGAATGTTTCCTACTCTTCAGGAAAGCACAAGTATAATCCCTTTTTTCAAAATGCATTTCCAACAGACGACAAAGATGTATTGCCAGCCGACAGGTGCTGACCTCCCGCTTTCTGACCCAGTCACTTTCTTATTCCCCTCCTCTCCCTTCGCAAACTGGCACAGGTATTAATTTGGGTCAACACAGCTTATTAGCTAGCAAAATTTTTTATTCCACTGAACTATACTCCCACATTAGCTGACCAAAATCTAGCTTCTTTCCGGTCCCCATTGTAACCCTCTAACATGGAACAGTACATTTCCCCCCACCTCCCAAAAGAGAAGCTGAGCAAAACTGTCCCAAATACACGTAATCCTGTATCATTATGAAACAATGCAAATTGTCTCTTTTTATTGATGATAAGGAAGAGTAAGGTCCAAAAAACCAACTAGTTTCCTAATGGAATAGTTTTGAAAAAGGTTCTTTACAAAGTATTCAAAGAAACGTGGTAAGAATTAACAGCATCAGCATGCCACTTGTAATTAGTATTCTCCATGTTACAATTGTAGGCTGCCAACAAAATTAAAACATCTCTACGTATTTGCTATTACATTTTAATCTTTGCACTGTATTATGACTCAAGAACTCATCCAAATGTGTCACAAATTCACTTCAATACTTTCAAACAGGAAAAAGATGCCAAAAACACTGAAAAATTCCCCAAAAGCCAGCTCTGATACTTCAAAGAACTAAAACCCAAGCATATAGTTTCACAACTTTGCTTCCCAGTTCTCAGTTAGTATCTAGTATTCACGGTCAAAAAATTCTGGTCTGTTTCAAATGTCTGCAGCTTTAAATAAGAAAATTAAACACAGCAAAAAGTTCATTAGTAGTGGAGAGAACAGGTATTTCAAGCCTGTATGTTCCATATTTTGTGTCTAAAAAACAAGTCGGGGACCCTGCATTTATCATCTGAAGATGTAAAAAGCATCATCTCCGCATCATACCAAGAAGCCACAGTCATCCAGCTCAACTAATTCAAGAACAATTACCACACTTTGCCTAAAGCCTGTAGTCCCACAAACGCCTATCACCATATTGATAAACATTCTTTGGAACCACTCTGACAGCAGAGGTAAGAACAGGAGACAGCCTGATAGTACCTCAGCACTCCTGTTTCCAACCAATATTAAAAAGAAAAAAAAAAGTGATTGAAATCCAGTTCATGGTTCTCAAAAGCAACAGGAAGTTTCCAGCTTTAGTTTTCAGCCAGCTTAGCACTGAAGCAGGTCATCATAGTCATTTAAATCACCAGAACTGTCACAAGGAAGAGAGAAAGTATGCCTAGCCAGGGCTGTGCAAGTCGTACTGACCAGCAAGCGTTGACTTCCATTGTGCTCAGAGCAGCCCTGGAACCGCAGCCTGAGACACCCGAAGGAGTCAAACTTCCTGATGAGCAGCAGCACTCAGAGGCTGCCTGATTTTTAGAACTTCAGCAATACAGATGGATAGTTCCTTCCCGTACCTCCAATACAGCCTTCAAAAGTACTCATTTAACACCACAAGCGGTACCTTCAGGAGAAACTCAATATGAGCTCTCAGAAATGTCCCCACCACAGAAATAATTACAGGTTTAGACCCAGCACATAAGAGGTTGTTGAACTGCCCTTAGTGAGAATGCTGAAGAGCTGATTTGAACACCAGCAGTTGGAGGTAGCAAATACTAGCCACTTTTTTTTTTTTTTTTAAAGAAAATCACTATGATGAACATCCCAACAATTTACATTTTGAAGATATGTTCAAAAAGAAAAAACTTCAACAACTATCATCACAAAAACCTTACTAATATTAAACTTGTATATTTTTACACCAATAAGGAATTGCAACACTGTGTAACTAATGCGAAGCCTGTCAATAATCAGTAAAAGCTTAAATATATTTTTTCTCACATCAAGCATACAAAGTAAATTCACCATTTAGGGAAGGCTTATAGGTGATTTGCAAAAACTTATTGGAATGTTTACAAGAAGTAAAACATTTACTTGCCTCTACCTCCGAAACTGCTGGATCATGGTTGCCTCTGCTCTTAAAGGAGACCTGAAAAGCAAAAAAAAATTGGGCTTGTGCCCTATTTTGCTTAAGATGTTTAAAAGAGGCATGAAGAGTTGGAATTAGGGTTTCTATTTTATCCTGTGATGGACACAATTTATTCCTTCTTGTTCACACTTGAGATTGAAATCCTAAGAAGCCATAATATAAGACAACCTAGTTAAGGGAAAACAATGCAAGAATCAACAGAAGCTAAGTCACAGAAGAGAGAACAAACTTCAGTTTTCTTCCCCTCACCCCAACTCCTTCAAGTTCTCCTTCATTTGAGTGATGAGTAAGACAAAAATCCCTTTCCAGAGTTAAGTATTCCTGCACTATCACTACTGGTGATTCGCACAGTTTCACGAATTAACATTATATGTGCTAAAAAAAAAAAAAAAAAAAAAAAAAAAAAAAAACCCACAAAAAACAACCAGTCAGAAATTTTATTGAGGTTGCATTTTAAAATTTTAAGATAAAAAGGCAATCAGGGAAAAAAGCTCAAGTCCTTTTCAGGGTCTCCTTATGTTTCAAAATAGCAAAATAAATAAAAGAACAATTTTTAGAAGTTCTTTGCAAATGGAAAAAAAAGTGAAAAAATCATGAGCTGGCTAGCTATAAAAGGGAGACAAACATGACTTTCTATTCCACTACTAACCTGCCTGTAAGACAGTTTGTATGTATGCTATAGTGATGCAGTTATCAGGACATAAAAGCTGTTTTTTTCCTAAAAAAATAGTATATTCCATCTGATAGGATGAGAGTAATTTTTAAAAAAAAAAATTAAAAGTCAAATTCATACCAGATGCAAATGAGCACAGAAGATAGTACATCTTAACTAGTACCCATTACTGTTGGGGCAACCATAATAGCTCATTAACTTTAAGCAAGATGGGATGGTACCACGTAATCCATTCAAAAAGTGGTTTAAAGCCCCTTCTCTGTTCCTTCGACCCATACTTCAACTATGTAACTACTATATATAAAACAGGAAAGTCATTTTTCTTTTTGTAAATAGGGAAGTTAAAAACATTGCTTATGAAAAACATGCAGTCATCAAGAAAAACAAAAGTAGGATGCCTAAAAATAAGAAAAACATATCCAAAGTATATTAAAGTACATACTTAAAATGCTATTATGAGAAGTTACGTTGTCTTTAAATTATGTATCACAGATAAACCATGCTCAACCAGTAAAAGGTTGTAGTCAATGTTCTAAGTCAAGTCAAATCAGTCAACTAGCTGAAGTTCCTCATCATTACGTACATGGAATGTGATCTTGCTGAAATGCTAAACCAGCATTAGATAGCCCCAACATCCTTCTCTGACAAAAGAGTATTTTACTTTGATATACTCAGATAGGAACACACCTGGTGACACAAGATGCAGTTTAATAAGTATTTCTTTCAGGGACAACACTGGCTTAAGCAACTTACTCAGATAATGTGAATTCTGCACAAGAGCAGGCCAAAGACCTGGGCATCTTTACCCTAGGTCAATTGCTCAGCTTAGCTCTCTGTGTATTACCAACAATTATAATGTTACTTCTCCAGTTGCAACAAGCAGCAGGCACCGATTCAAACAGTACTGGCACTGAATTAAATGCTCCAGTGGCATAATTAAAAGGTGAGGGGTTTTTTTTCCTTCCACAGATGAACTACAAGCAGAGAATGGAATTAAACAAAAAAAAAAAAAAAAAGAAAGAAGATTTTATCTTTCTTTAAAATATTGAAAATAATGTATTAGAAAATAAGTCAAAATTCAGAAAATCAGGTTTAGTTCAGATGAGTAACTTAGAGGTCTACAAAGCATAAGATTCCAGGACCATAGACAAGATTCTTGTTTCAAAGCTATGAAAAAATTCACAAAATAATACTCCTTTCTCCTTTCTATTGATCAAGAATCCTTTTCAGCAAAAAATTCTTACTTTGCTGGGTAAAATTAATGGTGAAATAGCAAACCAGGAGTTAAAGTAAAAACATTTTCATGCAGGCACTCACGTATTGCATATCATGGAATAATATGAAGGTGAAGCTTAACTCTGCAAGTTAAGTTTATTTAACAACCAGCTATCACTGAAAATAGTGGTCCTGACTCTGCCACTTTCCCTGAGCTGACCCTGCTGCTTAAACAATTGTGCAGGGGCCAATTTAAGAAACTCACAAACTCAATTGACTTCTGAAGATGCACATGAAACAGTGGGAACAGATGTCCTAAGGCTTTTAAGGGGAACTGACCATTAGGATCAATCCAAACATAGTGCCATACAACTCACAGAAAAACTTCAACAATTTGTGATAGCAAAAAGATTCTGTCCTTTCAGGACTACTCATATGATTAACTTACAGAGCTCAGGCATTACTCTGCTTTAGAGTGTGCGAGCCTCTTCAATCCTGCATAATTTGACAGAAATGTAAGTAAAGACCCTTTGAATTAAATTCTGATTTAAAGACATCTGTGGTTATTTCAATACCTATTATACCACCCACTTAAAGAAAAGTGTATTTATATTGTGTCAAATTCACTTTAAGATTACCAAACATATCACAGATACAAAAATATCTTACTTTTTTAGTATTGTTTTTAATATCCTTTATACTATGCAACATATCCTACCCATGCAACTATTTATCTTATACCCCTCCTACCTATTCAACTATTTCATACAAAGCATTAAAACCCATTTAAATTATAGAATCGTTAAGGTTGGAAAAGACCCTTAATATCGAGTCCAACCGTTAACCTGTCACTGCCAAGTCCACCACTAAACCATGTCCTCGAGCACCACATCTACCCGTCTTTTAAATACCTCCAGGGATGGAGACTCAACCACTTCCCTAGGCAGCCTGTTCCAGTGCCTGATATAAAATGATAGGATATTTTTCCTAATATCCAACCTAAACTTCCCCTGGTGCAGCTTGAGGCCGTTTCCTCTCGTCCTGTCACTCATTACTAGGGAGAAGAGACCAACCCCCACCTTGCTACAGCCTCCTTGCAGGTAGTTGTAGAGAGCAATAAGGTCTCCCCTCAGCCTCCTCTTCTCCAAACTAAACAATCCCAGTTCCTTCAGCCGCTCCTCATAAGACTTGTGCTCTAGACCCTTCACCAGCTTCAGTGCCCTTTTTTGGACACGCTCCAGCACCTCGATGTCCTTCTGGTAGTGAGGGGCCCAAAACTGAACCCAGTACTTGAGGTGTGGCCTCACCAGTGCCGAGTACAGGGGCACTATCACCTCCCTGGTCCTGCTGGCCACACTATTCCTGATACAAGCCAGGATGCCATTGGCCCTCTTGGCCACCTGAGCACACTGCTGGCTCATGTTCAGGCAGCTGTCAACCAACACCCCCAGGTCCTTTTCCGCCAGGCAGCTCTCCAGCCACTCCTCCCCAAGCCTGTAGCGTTGCACGGGGTCGTTGTGACCCAAGTGCGGGACTCGGCACTGAGCCTTGTTGAATCTCATGCAGTTGGCCCCAGCCCATCAATCCAGCCTGTCCAGGTCCCTCTGTAGGGCCTTCCTACCCTCCAGCAGACTTCCACCCAACTTGGTGTCATCTGCAAACTTACTGAGGGTGCACTCAATCCTCTCATCCAGATCATCAATGAAGATATTGAACAGAACTGGCCCCAAATGTTATGGAACAGAAGACATGACTAAGAATTTTGAAAAGAACTGAGAATTAAATCAAAAGTATCCCAACTACCAGTTTCAATGCTATTCTCCACAGTAACACACAGTAATCAAAGAAATTTACCGTCTGCTGTAATTTACAAACAATGGCTAGACCATATACTCAAAGCTCTTGCTGCAAAACCATACAGTCTCACAGGAAAAGGCTCAGAAAAGTCAAAAAATTATCAGAAAAAGTTGCAGATAGGGTTTTTTTTCTTCTGTTAGTAAAGCATGTTTTAACTATTTGACAAACTACAGTAATACTCAACAAGAGTAAAAGTTTTCAATGCAAGTCATGCTCAGCCAAGCATACACAGTATAACCTCCATATCCTCCCTGTTAAACCCCCAACCCTTACCCTGCAAGCAGGGTTAATAAGATGTATCCCACTTTTGCAAGTAGAACATCACATTCTTGTAATGGGGATAATGAAGTCTGAAACCAACTGCAATAAAATTTTAGCTACAAAACTGACTTAGTAGACAATATACAACTATTTAACACATCAGCACTCGAGCTCCACAAGGCAAGAAAGGCATACATTGCAGTTGCAGTGTATGCAAAGTAAAAGGTAGGCATAGCTCATCTATGAAGTTAACACACATCAACAGGATAAAATACACAGAAAAATCAATGGATGAACAAAGCACTTAAAAACATTTCACATCTTGCTTTGAGACACCTCATGTCTCAAAGATGACAGCATTTTTTTTTTTATTTGGGCACTTCAATACATATAAAGTGTTTTAACAGCTTTCTCTAACATAACACAACATGCAGGATAACTTACCTATTAGAGTCTTAAAAACACTGCCCCATGTTAGGCAGGAGGCGTTATTCCAATTCTTTACTCTGAAGATACCAATGAATAAACTCTTAAATCTGATTATCAGATAGTACATAAAAATGCCACACACAAAAATTCAAAATCCCAGGCATGTAAAGTTTTTCCCAATATACATACCTAAGTATAGACACTAAGAAAATAAAGAATTAATCTAAGAAATAAAGTTTGCACTGTATATATTCACCAAGAGTCCAAAGAGCAGCTGAATTAATTCTGAATGAGCACATAACGTCTGAAACTCCAGGCACAGAAGTAACTAGTACACAGCTCCATACTGAGCTTTTCATTTGTGCATTTCAAGTATTTCCCTTCCCTAAGGGGATAAGCATGGGTTTGGTTGGTTGGTTGGGGTTTTTTTTGGTATGTAGACAACCATACACAGTCCTGTTAGCTAAGTCACGCCAGGATACTGAAATCCATGCATTCTGCAAGTTCTGTATGTCCTAATATTCACCCCTACCTCCAAGTACTTACGTAGCTCTTAACACTATAA